CAGTTCAATAATATAATTACAATTTTGTTACAATTATTGTGCACACAAAAAAACACGGTTGATCAACCACTTGGTCGTTTACCAGTTAAAAGAAAACCTTCTAACTACTTTGTATACAACTAGTAACACAAGAAAACAATATTTTTCTGAAAAATATTTTCATTTTGCTTTATTTATTTATATAAAGTATTATGTTATTAAAGGTTTTAGTTTCTTAATTAGCTGTAGATGAGAGTATTTTTGCATATTACGTTATAAATCAACCGTCTCTAATAATCTAACATGGTTGTTAGCCAATTAGTAAACAACTTTATGCATTGTTATTTAATGATCAATCACCTTGGATAGTTCAATAATATAATTACAATTTTGTTACAATTATTGTGCACAAAAAAACACGTTGATCAAGCACTTGGTTGTTTGCCAGTTAAATGAAAACCTTCTAACTACTTTGGATACAACTAGTAACATAAGAAGGAACTATTTTTCTCAAAAATATTTTCATTTTGCTTTATTTATTTATATAAAATATTATTTTATTAAAGATTTTAATTTCTTAATTAGCTGTACTTGACGCTATTTTTACATATTACGTTATAAATCAACCATCTCTAATAATCTAGTCAACTTCATGGTTGTTAGACAATTAGAAGAAAACCTTATGCATTTTTAATCAGACAGTTCAATAATATAATTACAATTATTGTGCACACAAAAAACAAGCTTAATCAACCAATTGGCCGTTTGCCAGTTAAAAGAAAACCTTCTAACTACTTTGGATACAACTAGTAACACAAGAAGAAAATCTTTTTTTCTCAAAAATATTTTCATTTTGTTTTATTTACTTATATAAAATATTATTTTATTAAAGATTTGAGTTTCTTAATTAGCTGTAGATGACGGTATTTTTACATATTACGTTATAAATCAACCGTCTCTAATAATCTAGTCAACTTCATGGTTGTTAGACAATTAGAAGAAAACCTTATGCATTTTTAATCAGACAGTTCAATAATATAATTACAATTATTGTGAACACAAAAAACAAGCTTAATCAACCAATTGGCCGTTTGCCAGTTAAAAGAAAACCTTCTAACTACTCTAGATACAACTAATAATACTAAAAAAAACTATTTTTCTCAAAAATATTTTCATTTTGCTTTATTTATTTATATAAAATATTATTTTATTAAAGATTTGAGTTTCTTAATTAGCTGTAGATGACGGTATTTTTACATATTACGTTATTAATCAACCATCTCGAATAATCTAGTCAACTTTATGGTTGTTAGCCAATTAGTAGACAACTTTATGCATTGTTAATTAATGATCAATCACCTTGGACAGTTCAATAATATAATTACAATTTTGTTACAATTGTTGTGCACACAAAAAACACGGTTGATCAACCACTTGGTTGTTTGCCAGTTAAAAAAAAACCTTCTAACTATTTTGGATACAACTAATAATACTAAAAAAAACTATTTTTCTCACAAATATTTAGTTTCTTAATTATTTAATTATTTATTAACACGTCAAAGAAGGCGCAAATCAAAGTTTGCCTGCTGCGAGAAAATTTTTCGTGGACGCCTATGGACTGAGTGAAAAGTCAAATATCTTAAGTCAATTACAAACTTAAACTTTTCTTATAAATTTTAATCAGTTTATAACAATTGTGAGAAATGTGTGGTGTAATTTATTTTGTAAAGTATTCATAATTTATGTAATAATATCACATATTATTCTAAATTGCTTCAATATGTATTGGCGTTTAAGCTTTGTAAATAAAATAAAATAATTAAGGTTATAAAATCAGTGACGTGCATAGCGACAAAATTATGATTCATAATTTATGACCCACCGGTGGGTCATGTCGTCATCAACGTGCCTTAATTACTTTATGTAATTATAATTAGTGAAATGTGAAATATTATTTTGGGCAAAAAAAAATTGGGTTGATTAACTTTAGTGGTTAATTTATAAATATTAAAAAAAAAACAGTATTAATTTATTTAAAACATGATTTTATTAAATGAAAATAGTTCATTGATAACGTACAGATGGCGTCACTTTCTATAGAACAAATACCTGCGGCATTTCTCAGAAAAAAAGAAGACATGATTACACCGGTAGCGGTTGTATTGTCACTTTTTTTTCCTTTTAACTCATGAATATTTTTTTTTTTGAGAATTTTGAATTATTTGGCGACAGGCAATTTCATGAGAAAACTACGACAACTTTCTTGAAATTGGCAATTTTCTTAGAAAATATTTTATAAAATGTAATAAATTTAAGAAAAAGAGTATAAAAATCATATTTTATATTAAAAAATGTAATTTTTTATAAACAATACAAAGTTTTTTAGTGTTATTATTGTATTTATATTATTTAGAAGGTTTTCTACTAATTGGCTAACTACAAAACGTTGAACAATCGTGATTTTACATTTTTTCTAATTATAACAAAATTATTATTATATAACCGAATTTTCTTTGGTGGTTGATCAATAAAAAAGCATAAGGTTTCTTCCCAATTGGCTAACAACAACGAGAAGTTGATTAATCATGATTTTTGTGTAAAAAAGAATATTTCACATTTTCTCTAATTATAATAAAATTACATTTATATAACCGAATTTTCTTTGGTGGTTTCCTGAGGTTTCTTCCCAAGTGGCTAACAACCATGAGAAGTTGACTAATTGTGATTTTTGTGTAAAAAATAACATGTTTACTAATTATAACAAAATTACAATTATATAACTGAATTTTCTTTGGTAGTTGATCATTAAAAAAGCATAAGGTTTCTTCCCAATTGGCTAACAACCACAAGAAGTTGATTAATCGTGATTTTTGTGTAAAGAATAACATTTTACAATTTTACTAATTATAACAAAATTATAATTATATAACCGAATTTTGTTTGGTGGTTGATCATTAAAAAAAGCATAAGGTTTCTTTCCAACTGGCTAACAACCACGAGAAGTTGACTAGTCGTGATTTTTGTATAAAATATAATATTATACATTTTTACTAATTATAACAAAATTACAATTATTTAACCGAATTTTCTTTGGTGATTGATCATTAAAAAAAAATAAGGTTTCTTCCCAACTGGCTAACAACCACGAGAAGTTGACTAGTCGTGATTTTTGTGTAAATAATAATATTTTACATTTCTATTAATTATAACAAAATTACAATTATATAACCAAATTTTCTTTGGTGGTTGATCATTGAAAAAAGCATAAGGTTTCTTTCCAACTGGCTAACAACCACGAGAAATTGACTAGTCGTGATTTTTGTGTAAAAAATAATATTTTACATTTTTACTAATTATATCAAAATTACAATTATATAACCGAATTTTCTTAGGTAGTTGATCATTAAAAAGAGCATAAAGTTTCCTCCCAACTGGCTAACAATCACGGGAAGTTGACTAGTTGTGATTTTTGTGTAAAAAATAACATGTTTACTAATTATATCAAAACTACAATTATGTAACTGTATTTTCTTTGGTTGATCATTAAAAAAGCATAAGGTTTTTTACCAATTGGCTAACAACCACGAGAAGTTGACTAGTTGTGATTTTTGTGTATAAAACAATATTTTACATTTTTACTAATTATAACAAAATTACAATTATATAACCTAATTTTCTTTGATAGTTGATCATTAAAATAGCTTATGGTTTCTTCCCAATTGGCTAACAACCACAAAGTTGACTAGTCGTGATTTTTGTGTAAAAAATAATATTTTACTTGGTAAATGAATAGAAAGTAAAATATTTAAAACAACTATATTTTTAAGTCAAATAGACAAATATTTCCTTCTGAATCCGATAAAATAAACTTTTTAGAAGCAATAAAGAAAGTATTTTGTTATTATTGACAATATTTATTGATATAATTAAACAAAAACAACAAAAATTACATACTTATATAACTGTGACATAAAACCATGTAAGTGCAGTGAAACCTCGCTTAACGAATTTAATCAGTTTCAAAACTTCCGGATTTTTACTCGTATAGTGAAACATATTCAAAAATACACATAATATGTAAACAAGTTTTGAAAATGATGTAGAATGCGCGCAATCCGGGACTTCTCTTCTCATCGTCACTCTTTATGCGAAGCGTCGCTCGTTAAGCGAGTTCATTTTGCTCGTTATGCAAGGTTCCACTGTATATTACTTAACACAATTAATTATAAAGTGCAAACAATAAGAAAATCGACAGAATAAAGATGCGCGGCTTCAAAGAAATATATTAAGGTTTTGATTTCTCCTAAAATTACCTGTTGGCAAATAAATTAAAATTCTACAAAAAAAAAAAGTGAAATATTCATGAGTTAAATGGAAAAAAAAGGAAATCTAAAAAATGACCCAAAAATATTGCTGCAATAAACTTCTCCTTTACTATGCAAAGGGTATGGAAAGATCGTAAATCCTGTAACGATCTTTCCATTTTTTTTCGAGAAAAATGTAATCGCCCCAGATGGCTTGTCCAAAAATATTAGCGCCATCTTTAGTTTACTGACGAACTAAAATTTTCAACAATTTTTTTCAAAAAAAAAATAATATTTTTCTAATTAATGCAATGTTCAAAATGTAATTATATTAAATTCAAACACCTTAAATTTATTAAAATAATAATATTGATTGCAACAAATTACAATTACATAATAACAAAAATTAAAATAAACAGCTCCAAAGTCAAAGCAACTTTAATATTAACTAAATAATCATTTTAAGTAGAAATTATATTATACTAAATTTATAAAAAAATTATATTTTATCAAAATAACAACAGAAATAATCAAAATTGTTCAATATTTACATCAGAATAAAGGCTTTTATTGCGAATCTTTTGATGTAACAATTGTTTGGTAAATAATAATGAACAATTTTTCTTGTGTTTAACGATATATAGGTATCCTCTGATTTAGGAACTCTCGAACTTACGAACAAAATTCTAAAAGCTCTAACAAGGAGATACAAATTAACTGTCCAAACAAAAATTGATAATTTCTTTAATAAAATATAATATTTTTGGAAGATCTGTACTATTTGTTTTCCTGCATTTGTTTCTTTTTTCGTTTATTATTGAATAATTGTGATGTCTACATTGAAAAGTATTTGTAAGTAAGTATTTGTTTATTTACATCTATTTTTTTCAAATTTATGCAATCAATAAATACGAAATTTAACATATATATAAAAGTAAAAACAATGATAAAGTGTGTATTCACATTTTAATTAATTACTAAATAACTACATATACCAACTACATCTACGGATATTCAAATTAAAGAAAAATGTATGTCATTTCCTATGAGCCTACTGCGATGTGTATAGTATTTTCCATTTTGTTGTAATAAACTATAAAAATTTAAGAAAAAATAAATAAATCGATAATAACATTCTCATAAAAATGTTTTCTGTATCTTTGATACAATGATATTAAATTATTCAATTTACAAATTTATTAACAAATTAATATTTATAATAATTAATTAATTATATTTGTAGAATGTTTTTACAATAATTTTATTATGATAATTATTATCAGCGTATAAACAAATAATCAACAGTTACAAAAGGCTATTGACCATAGATTTTTCCACCTATAATTTTATATTTTTTATGATTTTATTCATTATGCAAAAAAAAACTACATTTAATTTCAATTAGGTTTATATGAAATAATTATAAATAAAATAATATGTACAAAACGTTATAACATGTTTGAACAATTACAAGGCAGTACAGTAGAAACAGTACAGTTTTTTCGTGGAAATAATTATGAATTCTAGGAAAAAAAAACTGGCAATGAAAACGAAAATATTCGGATTATGAAAATCATTTCGGGAGTGAATAATCCCTTTTATTATGGTTATAGGTGCCATAAAATTGCTGATCCTTGTAAAATGCACCTTGTTTGGTGTTTGGTGGTGTGTTTGGTAAATATGAATATTATTTCTTTTCTTTTTTTTTCATGGAAAATTGGTGAAATTTTAGCGAAATTGCCCCCCCATAGTAATATAATATCAAAGATTATTGTACAGGATATTTAATTTATCGAGACTAGCAATTTATTTATATAATAAGATACATTCAACGACTTCAATTAGGTTGCGTTCAATGTTTGAAATTTCAAAACAATCTAAGTTTTAATAAAAAATATATTTAAAAAATTGTATACAAAATCAAGTGAAGTCTCTTTATTTCTATTTTATTTAATCCAGCATTAAATAGTCAGGGATATTGATGAAACTAATTATTGTACTATGCGAGGTTTTGTTGTAGTTTATTGCAACAATTATGATTTGTTTACAAATATACTTAACTATAAATATTGTAATAAACGATGTGATTTTGTAGAAACATCTAAACACAAATTAAAAGTGGAGCGTTACCGCAAAAACGTAGTAGGCGCGCGCCTAGGACCTCTTAAATTAGGATTACGCAAATCGAAAAAAAAAGTTATGATTTTCTTAGTAGTGTTAATATGGAGCCTCCAAATCAGGTTGCGCCTAGGACCTCACTAAGTCATCATTCGATAGAAAGTTGCGTAAAGGTGGCACGCAACTTTTTCTGAAACAAAATGTACGTAATGTTTGTTACGTAACAGCGAATAGACGAACTCAATTGAAAGCTGAATACATCATCTTTCCAACGAGCCATTTGACATCTTCGTGCTGTTATCAAGTCGCCTACTACGAGCTGTAGAAATTGGAAAATAGGTGAATAGGATTTTCTTAAAAAAACGCTGTTTTGATGAGTTATCACATTAATTCTTAATTGCACGAAAATTTCGTAACTGTCGTTGTGTTTCATGATTTTGTAAGATGGGCGCCACTCTTGCACAACTTCTTATGAAACAAAATTTACGTAATTTTCGTTACTTAATAGACGATTTTTTTCATAATTTCTCGACAACTCCTTAAGATAATTAGATACATTTACATACATCTTTGTAGTTTCATCGAGTCGCCTGTTATAAGCTGAAGAACATTTTTTTCTAGTTTTTTATTCAGTTTTTACAGTTTTTTGTGAATTTCTCGACAACCCCTAAAGATAATTACATCATCGACCACTCAATTGAAAGCTGAATATCTTGCCTTTCCAACAAGCCTAGATACATGTAGAAATTGTAAAAATAAGACATACTTAACGTTTTCTACTTAACAAAGAATCGACGGTTTTCTCGTTTTTTTTTTTCAGTGATTTCAGTTTTTCGTGAATTTCTCGACAACCCCTAAAGATAATTACATCATCGACAAATCGTATGAAAGCTGAATATCACAACTTTCCAACGCGCCTACATACATCTTTGTAGTTTCATCAAGTCGCCTGTTGTAAGCTGAAGAACATTTTTGTCTCGTTTTTTATTCAGTTTTTACAGTTTTTCGTGATTTTCTTGACAACACCTTAAGATAATTACATCATCGATCAATCGTATGAAAGCTGAATACCTCACCGTTCCAACGAGCCTTTCGGCATCTTCGTGCTGTTATCAAGTCGCCTACTACGAGCTGTAAAAATTGGAAAATAGGAGAATAGGATTTTCTTAAAAAGCGCTTTTATCACGTTCATTCTTAATTACTCGAAAATTTCGTAACTTTCGTTGCGTTTCATGATTTTGTAAGATGGGCGCTACCCTTACGCAACTTCTTATAAAGCAAAATTTACGTAAATATCGTTACGTAATAAACGATTTTTTTTTCAGTATTTCGTGAATTTCTCGACAACCCCTTAAGATAATTACATCATTGACCACTCAATTCAAAGCTGAATACCTCACCTTACCAACTAATTTCACATTAATACCATTATTTAGATAGTTATGCAAAATCAGAACATAAATGCATACCCCTCACGCAAATGGTGGAGGCGCCGGGATGAAGAAAAGATGTTCAAAGGATATCCAACAAAATATGTATTTGTGTTTTATATTAAATATATAAAAATGTTATATTTAATAAATTATTAGTTATTATTTAGTATAGTATGGTATTTATATATTTAGTACATTTAGAATTTGTAGCTGAAGCTGTGGTTATACTAATTTTGTACAGCAGTGTTTTGTTGGTTGCCTACTTTTGTTTAAATCTTTAATTACTTGATTTACACGGTTCTCAATTTATACGGTTTTGTTTTACAGTAAAAATATAAATCTTGAAAATATGCTATTCCTCCTTTTACACGGTACTTTATTAAAGATAATCGTTTTTCTCAAAAAGGTATCTACCGTGTAAAACGAGGAACAGGTGTATTTTCATTGATTACTAATTAAAAAAATGGTGAATATTAATTAATAAAGAAAGACGTAAATGCATAAACAAATATTTAATTTTATTTTTCATATAATTTTAAAACATCAATTTTTAAACTTCTTTTGAAATGTAGTTTCCAACGGATTCGAACGTTTCTTCTGAAAATAATAAAGAAAACTTAGCAAAATGTTACAACAACCGACGCTGAAGCTACTTACATCATTCATATTAGATTTAACGTATTTCTGCTTCTTTTCCTCCTTGTTAATTTTCTCGGCCTGCTTCCAAATACCTGATTTAGTACCGGCCTTACTCTGTTCATCGATCAAATGCCTCAACGTAGTAGGCACGATGTAATCAGGCATGCATCCCAAATTCTGCTTAATCTTCTTAGGTTGTCTCGTGGTACTTTGACTCTCCAGCACTTCCAAATCAATAGGATTTGCTTCAAAATACATCTACAATCATTGTAATTAATATTTACCTAAAATTACTGTTTGGATTTTCTTATACCTTCAATTTCTTTGATTGAATGATTTCCTTTTTAATTTCATTCATACGCGCTTCTTTAATAACGTTCTTTGTTACAGCGTTCCACGCATCTTGGGCTCTGTACTGAAGAGAAGCCACGTCATCCATCTTAAACTCATACTTCCTATAAATAAAATCAATTAAATTTATGATAAATATTAACAAGTTTCGGTATTACTTGAATGAATTCGTCGTGTTTTGAAGTTTATTGATGTGATCTTCAATTTCCTCGAATATTTTCTTCTGACGTTTATTAATGAACGATAAAACTGTGCCCTAAAAATAACCAATTAATAAAAACCCTTTAAAGCTACATTTAGTAAACTTACAGTATTTGTTCCTCTCGCGGTTCTTCCCGCTCGATGAATATAAGAGTCGATTTCTGAGGGTAGTTCAAAGTTGATCACATTAGAAACACATTGGAAATCAATGCCTCTGGCCACTCCACTCTCCTTGTCTTTAGCCCTTCTGTTACGTTTCTTCTTTTTCTTCTCCTCCTTTTCTTCCCCATCCTGCGCAATCTCTTCCTCCTCTTTTTTGATAAACGTCAGGTCTTCAGTGAGACTCCTTTCATCAGAGGCAATTATAGTATCGTAAACTCCATTATTGAAGTCCTCAACTGCTTTACAACGAACAGCTGCTGGTAATTCCGAATTCAGCACACAAGCCTTAACAGCAAATTGATGCAAGAAGAGTTTCAACTTGTAACATTTATCAACTGAATTCACAAACACTATAGACTTTCCATTGATTAAATGCAATTTATACAAGGAACTCAAGATTGTGGCTTTCTCCAATTCTTCAGCTGCAATATAATAGTGAGCCAACTGTGAATTTGGTGGAATATCCGCTTCATGCAACTTCAATATCACTGGATTATGCAAGACTAATTTCTTTAAATCTTTCACATCTTGACTCAAAGTGGCTGAAGCTAAAATTGCCTGATAAAATTGTGGCAAATATCTGAAACAATTTATAATTATTATAACATAAAACTGAATCTACTAATTGTTTTTTTAACTCACTTAATTAGCTCTTCAATATCGTTTTGATAACCGAACGAAAACACCAAATCAGCTTCATCAATAACCACATATTGGATTGTGCTTAAAGTGATTGTTTCAGCTGTTAAATGTTTCAATAGTTTTGATGGTGTCGATACTATGATTTCTGGTTTGTTTGTTAATAGAGGTTTCTGAATAGCTATTTCTACGTCTGGGGAAATATCTATACATTTAACTACTTGACTGCATTTTCTCGTCAGCTGTCCGATGACAGTCATAGTCTGTTTGCAGAGCTCTCTCGATGGGCATAATATAATTGCTATGCTCTCTGTCTCGATGGCAGTCTTTTTGTGTGTTAAAACTTTCTGTATTACTGGTATCAGAAAGGAGGCTGTCTTTCCTTGTCCTGTTCTTGCTTTAATGAGTAAATCTTTGCCCTCCAATGCCATGGGTATGGCAGTCTCTTGGATCACAGTGGGCTTTTCCCATCCCAACATAGCAATCGCCTGAAACAAACGCGCATTAAAAACATGCTTAGAATATAACCTCAAAATGAGTAAATAAACAAATATACCTTTAAAATCCTATCGTCCAATTCCATATCGTGGAAATATACTTGCTTCTCGTCAACTTCTTCCATTTTCACGTTTATGTTCTTACTATTACTTAAGAATTAAATCAATTAACTAAAAATCAAAGAATACTTCTTTCCAACAGTTTTAAAACTGTCAATACATGCAACACATGTGTACTGACATCCATGTTTACAAAAGCGACATCTAAGAATATTTCTTCCAAGTTTCAAAGTACTTTCAAAAATTTTAAATTTTAATTTATTTAGTATATAAATATGTGTCTATTATTATGAAGAGACGAAATCCATGAAGATGAAAATTTATTATATTTGAATTATTTGATATTCCTGGATGTTGTCTAAATCAGTGATTTTCAAGGGGTTGTCGAGAAACTCACGGGGTTTTCTAATTATTAAAGAAAATCCTTTTTTTCCAAATTCTCCAGCTCTTAGCAGCCGACTCCGCGACAGCACGAAGATACCAATAGGCTCGTTGGATAGGTGAGATATTCATCTTTCAATTGTGTACTCAATCATGTAATTATTTTAAGGGGTTGTCGGGAAATTTACGGGGTTTTCTAGTTATTAAAAAAAATCCATTTTTTCCAATTTCTCCAGCTCTTAGCAACCGACTCCGCGACAGCACAAAGATACCAATAGGCTCGTTGGATAGGTGATATATTCATCTTTCAATTGTGTACTCGATCATGTAATTATCTTAAGGGGTTGTGGGGATATTCATGGGATTTTCGAGTTATTAAAGAATATCCTTTTTTTCCAATTTCTCCTGCTCTTATCAGCCGACTTCGCAACAGCACGAAAATGCCAATAGGCATGGAAAGGTTGTATTTTTCTCTTTAATTTGAAGGTTTAATGAGTGGTAATCGATTTATTTAAGAAAGTAAAGGTATTGCAGCAAATTGAAAAAAATATTTAAATAAATGGTTATATTAATATATATTTGAAACTTTTAGTTCACTATTACAAAAAATAATCCTTTCGCTTCCATTTGTTATAAAATAAATTAGTTTTGGTCAATTAATAAAAAAGTTATTAAGCTTTAATCAGCTAGCGATTCAAGAAACAGTCTTCAACCGCACATACGTATGCCTGCAGCTAATTATTTCCTGCAATTTCCGACAAATGTCGCTGCTTGTCTTAATTAAAATGCTCATAACTCGAAATCTAATTACTATTTTAATTATTAGACTATAGTGATAACATTACATTTTTTCTAGCACTATTTTCACATGTTTATTTTTATTTCAATTAGTACGTTTTTAAGTTAGTGGATTTTGTTTAGCGTCAAAATGCCTGAACTACAACCTTGATGAAATATTGCTAACAGATGGCACCAGCTGTCACAAAAATGGAATATTTATTTTGCGCCTGCAACCAAACATACATATGCACTTTCATGAACAAATAATAAAACAAGGTCTTAGATAATGGCCTGTATTTTTGTAAACATGAGCTCCCAGAAGAATGTTATACATGGATGTTGTTCTTGAACATACGTAAATTAAAATTAGCGTAAATATTAGTTTGTAGCTGCAATGATGTCTTCATAATTGATTAACAAACTTTGATATATCACAAATGAGTTGGGAAAATAACGTCTTCGAAAATGGCCTGTATTTTCGTATACACCAACTCTTGGAAGAAATTTGAACATTAATGTTGATCTTAAATTTACAGAGATTAAAATTAGTGTAAATACAGGCTTTTAGCTACCATAGTTTGGTCACAATTAATCATCAAACTTTAGTAATAGACAGTTTTTTCAGCATTCAAAGTTTTTACTATTTGCAAATGAAAACTACTAGTAAAGAATGCTTTCCACTTTCTGGGGAACTTAAGGTCGTCAACTACTTACTTTATGATTATTGCAATTACTGTATTCTTATATGAAGATTCTTTAGATTTTAAGAATTGTCCCTACTTAGCTGAAGTTTCTGTTGAATGTTTGTCTTAAGACAAATAACTTTAGTGATCGATGGTTATTGACCTGTTCCACTAGTAACCGAAGTAAAATGTGAAGTTCAGAGAAAGGTTTTCCATGCAAGGAAATAGAAGAAGGAAACAATGTAGCATGTTGTTCATTAACTTTTCATTCATTCAAAATTTCAAATTACAACCAATCAAAAACGACCGACTCTAGGAGCTCAGATACCTCCTCGCTACCCATAGTCTCCTAGTACAAATCGAAATTTTCTGGTATTTTCGAGAATCTAGGGGGGGAGACTTGCGTTTTGATTTGCGAAAACCGCCAACTCATTAAAGCTTAATAACTTTCTTATTAATTAACCGAAACTAATGTATTTTATAGCAAACGAAAGCGAAAGAATCATTCTTTAAAACAGTAAATTAAATTTTTCTAATATATCTGAATATAACCATTTATTTAACTATTTTTTCAATTTGCTGCAACACCTTTACGTTTTTTTTAAATTAATCGATTACCACTTGCGATAATTAAACAATCGAATACGCAAATTAAAAAGAAAACTACAACCTTTCCAATGATCTAACTGCCGGCATTGTGGTTTGGTCAGTACATCTACTATAAGTTATCAAAATCAAGCATTCTAATTTCATTCTCAATCCAAATAAATAACATATCACCTAATGAAAAATCTATTATTTAGCATCTGATTTCCTCAAATTGTATAATTGATGCAATAGTAATAACGATGCACTTTGAATTTCTGCTATAATCAATCATTGTAGTAAATATATTATGAGAATGAGAATCCAAAATTAATTTAGATGAAATATAGGGTTGCCTACAATGCAACAACAGATTTTCAATTGTTTTAGATTGAAATGAAGTGAACAATTATAAATGTCTTGCTATCATTAATATAAAAATAAAATAGCAATAAAAATATATCTTCTTCAATCAATTCACTGTAGTTAACAAATTCGTACATTTTTTTGGAGAAATTAACGTAATTGTTTCAATTCTTATTCATTCTTTGTATTGAATTAACGTGACATAAAGAATTTCAGAAAACTTTGATTTAGTAGGCGCTGAATTATGAGTGATCTGTCACAAAAGTTTCAATAAGTTTGCAGAGATATAGTTTCCAACGTTAGAATTGTTTTGGGTAAGTGTATTATTTATAATAACATAGAAATATTAATATTATAGATAAAAACACAACTATTTATGGACTTGTTTATATTAAATTGTTTGAGATTAACAAACAAATCTTTTCAATTCATTTTATAAAAATTTTGTAGGCAAAATTTTTATGAACCGCTAAAAGAAGCTAATTTCTACTTTCTTAATGATTAATTAATATGAAGAAAATGTTTCTAAATTGCAGTATTTCTAATGACAAAATTTGTCACTATATACAAATACAATTTAGTAAAGAAAACAGTAGAATGTTTCCGGTGGTAATCGCAAGCCCGACAACCGAAATCCCGACTGTATCGAAATCCCGCCGTTCGAAATCCCGACTGTATCGAAATCCCGACATCCATAATCCCAACTATATCAAAATCCCGACTATATCGAAAATGTCTACAATAACATTTTTAAATTATTCCGGAGCGTAGTTATTAATAATAAATAATAACAATTAATAATCAAATTGTATTTGAGATTTCATAATGTTAAGGTTTATTATGAATAATTCAACAAAATCAAATTAATTAATAATAATTTATTAAGGTGACTACGCACCGAAATAATTTAAACATATTATTGTAAACATTTTCGATATAGTCGGGATTTTGATACAGTTGGGATTTTTATATAATCGGGATTATGGTTATCGAGATTCTGATATAGTCCGGATTATCGTTGTCAAGATTTTGATATAGTCGGAATTTCGAACGTCGGGATTTTCGGTTGTCGGTCTTACGATATAGACCCGAATGTTTCCTATGTTGCATATAGTAAAACAAAGTATTTGTCTATTGTTTTCCAATGAAAGAGATGCTTGTTTAGTTAATGTTAAGATTTAATAACAAATAATTGAAATACTCAAATAAGTAAATATTAATTAATTGTTTTTTTAAAGAAGTATTTTATTAAGCGTTGAATTTTGAATAAATTTATATGCATATGTACTGAATTTAATATACATTCAATTAATAGTAAATTGAGTAACACAGTAAAAGGGTTTCTTAGGTTGCCTATAGTAAAACAAAGAGTTTTCGCTTGTTTTATTTTTTTAAACGGAAGGGATTAATGTGTAATTAATGTTTAAAATGAATATGCTTGAAATGTATTTGATGGACAAAGTATTTATAAATTTTGATTTTTTTTCTAGTCGCTGAATTACCAATGGTTTTCCATGAATAATTGTCGCAGCGGAAATGTTAAATTATCCGGAAATACGTGAATAATTTGCAGCAAATTTCGCACTTGTCCGAGAGGACGTAATTGCTTCTGGTAAATTAAACCCGAAAACTCGCCGAATCATTCCATTGAAGCGGTAAGCAAAAGTTAAATTAAGCATTATGAGTTATTAATACCTAACGTAATAAGGTGGACGGTCGGGATTTTTGTTTTAGGGAAGGTTAATGGTTGCGGATAGTTTTTCGTCCTACTCGGTTTTTGGGGGCGGCGGCGGCAGCGGTGGAAAAGGATTTACGGCCGCATGGCA